GTCAGTCTGTGTCTTTTGGTTGGAGCATTTAATCCATTTACATTTAAGGTAGGTTTTGATATGTATGTTCCTATTACCATTTTCTTAATTGTTTTGGGTTTGTTATTGTAGGTCTTTTCCTTCTCTTGTGTTTCCAGCCTAGAGAAGTTCCTTTAGCATGTATTGTAAAGCTGGTTTGGTGGTGCTGAATTCTCTTAGCTTTTGCTTGTCTGTAAAGTTTTTAATTTCTCTGTCAAATCTGAATGAGATCCTTGCTGGGTAGATTAATCTTGGTTGTAGGTTTTCCCCTTTCATCACTTTAAATATGTCCTGCCACTCCCTTCTGGCTTGGAGAGTTTCTGCTGAAAGATCAGCTGTTAACCTTATGGTGATTCCCTTGTATGTTATTTGTTGTTTTTCCCTTGCTTCTTTTAATATTTTTTCTTTGTATTTAGTTTTTGATAGTTTGATTTATATGTGTGTTGGCGTGTTTCTCCTTGGATTTATCCTGTATGGGACTCTCTGTGCTTCCTGGACTTGATTGACTATTTCCTTTCCCATATTAGGGAAGTTTTCAACTATAATCTCTTCAAATATTTTCTCAGTCCCTTTCTTTTTCTCTCCTTCTTTTGGGACCCCTGTAATTCGAATGTTGTTGCATTTATTGTTGTCCCGGAGGTCTGAGACTGTCTTCAATTCTTTTCATTCTTTTTTCTTTATTCTGCTCTGTGGTAGTTATTTCCACTATTTTATATTCCAGGTCACTTATCTGTTTCTCTGCCTCAATTATTCTTCTATTGATTCCTTCTAGAGAACTTTTAATTTCATTTATTGTGTTGTTCATCACTGTTTGTTTGCTCTTTAAATCTTCTAGCTCCTTGTTAAACGTTTCTTGTATTTTCTCCATTCTATTTCCAAGATTTTGGATCATCTTTACTGTCATTACTGTGAATTCTTTTTCAAGTAGACTGCCTATTTCCTCTTCATTTGTTTGGTCTGGTGGTTTTTACCTTGCTCCTTCATCTGCTGTGTGTTTCTCTACTTCTCATTTTGCTTAACTGTGTTTGTGGGCCCGTTTTTGCAGGCTGCAGGTTCGTAGTTCGGGTTGTTTTTGGTGTCTGTCCCCAGTGGCTAAGGTTGGTTCATTGGGTTGTGTAGTCTTCCTGGTGGAGGTTGCTGGTGCCTGTGTTCTGGTGGATGAGGCTGGGTTTTGTCTTTCTGGTGACCAGGACCGCATCCAATGGTGTGTTTTGGGGTGTCTGTGAGCTTATTATGATTTTAGGCAGCCTCTCTGCTAATGGGTGGGGTTGTGTTCCTGTCTTGCTAGTTGTTTAGCATAGGGTGTCCAGCACTGTAGCTTGCTGGTCGTTGAGTGGAGCTGGGTCTTAGTGTTGAGATGGATATCTCTGGGAGAGCTTTTGCTGTTTGATATTACATGGAGCCAGGAGACCTCTGGTGGACCAATATCTTTAACTTGGCTCTCCCACCTTAGAGGCTCACGCCTGACACCCGGCCAGAGCACCAAGCCCCTGTCAGCCACTCAGTTCAGAAGAAAAGGGAGAAAAAAAGAAATAAAGAAAAAAATAAAATACAATAAAGTTATTAAAATAAAACATTTTTTACATTATTAAAAATAAAAAAAATTAAAAGTTATTAAAAAAAGAAAGAAGAGAGCAACCAAACCAAAAAACACATCCACCAGTGATAACCAGCGCTAAAAACTATACTAAAAACAAAAAAAAGGGCAGAACCCTAGGACAAATGGTAAAAGCAAAAGCTATACAGACAAAATCGCACAAAGAAGCATACACATACACACAAAAAGAGAAGATGGAAAAAAATATATATATCTATATATAAAAAAAAGGAAGAGAGCAACCAAATCAATAAACAAATCTACCAATGATAATAAACTCTAAATACTAAACTAAGATAAACATAAAACCAGAAACAAATTAGATGCAGAAAGCAAACCCCAAGTCTACAGTTGCTCCCAAAGTCCACCGCCTCAATATTGGGATGATTCATTGTCTCTTCAGATATCCCACAGATGCAGGGTACATCAAGTTGATTTGGGGGATTTAATCCGCTGCTCCCGAGGCTGATGGGAGAGATTTCCTTTTCTCTTTGTTTGCACAGCTCCTGGGATTCAGCTTTGGATTTGCCCCGGCCTTGCATGTAGGTCGCCTGAGGGCATCTGTTGTTCGCTCAGACAGGGCAGGGTTAAAGGAGCAGCTGATTAGGGGGTTCTGGCTCACTCAGGCCGGGGGGAGGGAGGGGTACAGAGTGCGGGGTGAGCCTGCGGTGGCAGAGCCCAGCATGACGTTGCACCAGCCTGAGGTGTACCGTGTGATCTCCTGGGAAAGTTGTCCCTGGATCATGGGACCCTGGGGGTGGTGGGCTGCACAGGCTCCCAGGAGGGGAGGTGTGGATAGTGACCTGTGCCTGCACACAGGATTCTTGGTGGCAGCAGCAGCAGCCTTAGCATTTCATGCCCATCTCTGGTGTCCAGCTTTCTATCAGTTTGCAGAGTAGAGAGCTACATATGTTGTCATGAGCAACTGAACAGGATGTTGATAATCTTTAAGGAAAATATTCGTTGGGCTCAGTTAAGGAGACTGGCTCTTTGGGACACGTTCTTCGTAGTTGGACAGGAGGCCTGATTTGAAAGCTTTCCTTATCTCAGCAGGCAATTCATTTCTGTGTGTTGTATATAAGATCTCAAGATTTTATCTTGAGATAAAGATCTGCCAAAGAGGAAGATAAAAGCTGAGGCGTGCCTGGAGGTAGAAGATAGGGGGAATATTTGGAGCAGAACTAGAGGGGCGAGTGAAGTCATCCCCCAAGGCTAGCAGCCGGAAGTCAAGGAGCTAGAAACCAGGGTCCTGAAGTGGGGTACTGGCCCCCATCAGAGAGCCACATTTGTGTCTGTGTTTGGGGGCACAAATGTAGTGAACGGAAGCACCTTCCTCTCTAGAGGCTCCCATCATCTACTATATATATTTCTCTAAAAGCACATGTCAGGACTAGAAAGCAACTGGAGGTTGGGCCTAAGAGGCCTCTGGGAAGCTGGAGCAGTTGGCTCCCAAATGCCAGTTTGTGTTAGCCTTTTCCCAGGTTTCAAAATGTGAAAGCGACAAAATCCAAATGTTTTCAAACCACTGACTTAGTGCCCCAGATTTGGTCACAAACACTGGCCATGTTTGCATACACAAATAAAGGCAAAGATAAGTGGAAGCAACTGGCCTGAATTGGGGTATAATTGATCCCAATTTGTTCTCACTATTTATTCATATTTAGCAAATGAATGCATACATTGACTGGGTTGAGACAACCTCAAAGAATATAGTCCATACACTTTTACCTGTTAAATATCAAGAATGTTGTTCATGCTCAATAAATGAGAAGGGAGGCAAAAAAATAAAACCAAAGAAAAGGTCATTTGGTATGAGTTTGGGCAAGTATATTCCCTTTGCAAGTGATTTCTTCATCGTCACAAGGAATGGCAAACACCCCACTCATGGGACTTCCCTGGTGGCGCAGTGGTTAAGAGAGAGTAGTTGTGGCTCACATAGAGAGCCTGTGAGCCACAACTACTGAGCCCACGCACCACAACTACTGAAGCCCAAGTGCCTAGAGCCCGTGCTCCGCAACAAGAGAAGTTACCTCAATGAGAAGCTCGCTCACTGCAACGAAGAGTAGCCCCCGCTTGCGGCAACTAGAGAAAGCCCATGTGCACAGCAACGAAGAGCCAACACAGCCAAAAAATAAATAAATAAATTTATTTAAAAAAAAAAAAGAACCCACGACACCCTTGCCATTAAAAACAAAAACAAAATAACACTCCACTCACATGACACTGTACCACCACCTTACAAATGGCAGTTATCATTAGGAGTTGCACAAAATTTTAATCTGTCAAGATATAGCCCCAATGTCCTTCTCCACCCAGTGCTCCAGGCAGCCTGTTAGTCAGAGCTGGCAACATACATTACACCTGTTTGCCGTATTTGGACCCAGCGATCTCTAAGATCCCTCCTAGATCTACCCTACTCTTATTCTTTAAGAAAAACCCATCAAAAAGAGGAAAAATTATATCCTCGAAATAAAGTGTCTATATCAATATGTTTAATCAAAGATCATGATTAACAGAGAAAGGGAACTAATTTTACCTTTCCTGTGGTCTTACTGTCCCTGGTCTACCTGCCTTCTCAGCTATCTTGGACCATGGAAGTTCTCTCTTCTCTTCTGCCATACATTACCAAGTGAATTCTACATAGAGTGCATCCTCTCCCTCCGTTCTTTTTCCCAGGTGACCTATGACCTCCCCAAATCTGCTCAACCAACCAAAGAGGTTCATAAGCTTTGGGTTTTGAGGCTGGGAAGTGATAGACCCACAGAAGGTGTGATGTAGACTTCAGTAGCAACAGCATCCCAAGGAGAACGGGGTGGGTGGGAGTCACCATATCAAAAATATCACTGATGATAGGAATACCCAAGGCTTCTTGTAGGCCACAGAGCAACAAGCTACATTTCTCTACATGTGTTCCTTGAACCTGGGATATTAACTGGTTGCTCAAACAAGTATGATTACTTCCTTAGCAAACTGTGTTGAAGAACATTAAGCAGGTTTCTTTACTAAGTGCTTGTACACTTTTAACACTAATATGTATCATGAATCACTAAGAGGAGGGTTAGATTGTGCCTCATTTCTCAAATTTATTGATCTCCATTACCTTTTTGTCAAGGCCTATCTGTGAGACTAGTGTTCCACAGGACACACACTGGGAAACAAATCCCTAGCATTCTGAAGACAGATTCCTCATTTTATATGGGTAAAAAATTTAAAAATTAGTCTTCCCCAGAAAGTTTATAGGCAGAGCTGGGACAAGCATCCAGGAAGTTCAAAGGTAGGCTTTGATCTTCTCTTAATGCCATAGGCCATGAAGACAGTTCCTAAAGACTAGGCAAGAGGTTAGTTCCAGCCATATGTGAAAAAAGAGCTTCCTTTTCTTCTGTAGGTCTTGCTCTATGATGTTTAGCAGTGAATACGAATGTTACCAATGGACACTAGAGCTGAAAATCACCTTGGAGGACACCTGCTCTGACTCCCTCATTTCACAGGTAAGGAAACTGTGGCTCAAAAAGAATATACAAGACTTACCCAAAATCACATAATAGAGCTCAGATTAGACCCAAGTCTGATGACACTTGGTTTCCAGTATGTAATCCAACAAACTGTAACCACTAAACTCCTGAACTATCCAAGATAGAAAAGATGGTTTATTGAATTCAAGGTAAGCCATTTGCTGGTGAAAACTACACAGATTATGTATAAGTTTCGTATACATGTGTGTTTGTGTGTGTGTGTGTGTATGTAGGTAGATAGATAGAAATAGATCACTGTTTTAACTCCCGAAGGGGGGCTATCTAAGGATAGGAGTTAGGGAAATAATAGAGAGTGTATGTTATAAACAGTTAAAATGTACCCCAAAAGGTCTTCTATAGAAGTGAAAGAAAAACAACTCAGTCAAGATATTCAAAAGAAAATCTGACTTTTCACTATCACCAATCAGTGGTTCTCCATCCCGGTTGCATGTACAAATCCCCTAGAGGTCTTTTCAGAAACAACCATGTTTGGGGTGCGGCCTGGACACTGGCAGCTTTTAACAACCTCACAGATGATTTCACTGTGTAGCTAGAGGTGAGACATACTCACTGAACGTAAGGAATCCAGGGCAGATTCTCTTCACTCCTACATCATCCAGCCTCTGAGTCTATGGGTGGAAAGTCCAGCCGAGAGGTTTTCCAGATGTTCTTTCATGGATGAGGCTTGCTCACAGCCTCACCCTGAGCACGGAGCCAGAGCCAATAATTCCCGTCTTCCTTCTGGGCTTCTAGCTGCCCTGGGCTGCCTTATTGGCTTCCGTATCCCTCCTACCATTTGCTGTCAATCCAAAAACCTGGGGAAGCTAAAGTGAAATCCTTGAATTTGTTTATGTGGCAAGAAGCTTGGTGTCTATGCTGAAAAAATGTCCTTGGCCTTTGACAAAGCCGCCTTGGAGATGCCTCTGTCTGTTTTAAATAGGCCATAGACTAGCTGGGAAACCAGTGCTCTCCACCAGGAGCCAATCTGCTGAATCAGCCCATAGGAGCAGAGAGAGACTGGTGATTCAAATGCAAGGGTGTTTCTGACTTTTTTTTTGTATCATTTAGCTTCAAAGGAATGCAGAACTTTTAAGGGAGGCTTTTGGACTTGACTGTGGAGAATAGGTCAAACTGGAAATTGATTTGTGAGACATATTTTCAATTTTCGGGAATACTTGAAATACAATGATGAAGCCCAGTGTATGGAAAGGACATTTATGACGTTCATTTTAAAGAAAAGGTCTCGTTATTGGAAGACTAGTGTATTACCCACCTTTAAACGTCTTGGAGGAGAGTTTGGGACTAGATCTTTGAGACCTCAGAGAGACATCTAGAGGCAAAGAAAACAAATTCATGGGCTCATTTTTACATGTAAAGAGAAGAGAAAAGTAAAATAATCTTTCTAAATGTAACACAAATGCAAATTGAGGAGTTTCATCTATGCTGTGATGCAAAGAAGCAGAGTGGCTGTAGAGAAAATTCAATATTAATTAAGAATAGTAAGGATGTGAGGAGACAACACTGCTATGGGAACAGAAGAAAAATGTAAAATTATGTCTTACCATGGGTTCTGCCCACAGTGGAATATTTGCTATGTTTAGGGAGCTGTAAAAACACAATCTTCCTGCCCTCAAGAAATCTGGCCTGAGGAGGCCAGAGAAAGGTACAATGTTAATAGCAAAAGGATATATAAATACCAATGGCAATTTGAAATACAAAACATATTTCACAATATAAGTGAAAAGTAGGCTCAGGGAGTAAAGATGACAGGACTCCAGACATGGAAGAAGGTTCTTTTGGTGAGAGTAAGCAGGGAAGCATCCACAGAAGTGGGGACCAGGGAGCCAGCTTCTGAAGGAGGGTATAAGATTCAGGAGGTAGGGAGAGCCCTGGGAGGGGCGGGTGGCAAAGAGGGCACAGTGGCACCAGTCTGCAGTGTCTTCCTCTCTCTCACCTACACAGCTTTAGGGAGCACGAAGAACATGCGGAGAATCTCTGCTTTGGCATATATTCCTGCTCTGAGGAGCATCAGTAATGTTCTTTGTTTTTTTAATTATTGAAGTATAGTTGATTTACAATATTGTGTTAGTTTCAGGTATACAGCAAAGTGATATATATGTAAATCAGATTCTTTTCCCTTATAGGCTATCACAAAACATTGAGTAGAGTTCCCTGTGCTATACAGTAGGTCCTTGTTGTTTATCTATTTTATATATAGTAGTATATATATGTTAATCCCAAACTCCTAAACTCCTAATTTGTCCCTCCCTGCCCCCCCCTTTTCACTTTGGTAACCATAAGTTTGTTTCCTATGTCTGTGGGTCTGTTTTGTATATTAGTTCATTTGTATTTTTTATTTTTTTTTTTAGATTCCACATATAAGCGATATCACATGATATTTGCTTTTCTCTATCTGGCTTACTTGACTTAGTATGATAATCTCTAGGTCCATCCATGTTGCTGCACATGGTATTATTTCATTCTTTCTTATGGCTGAGTGAAGTTCCATTGTATTTATATACCACATCTTTATCCACTCATCTGTCGGTGGACATTTAGGTTGCTTCTATGTCTTGGCTTTTGTAAATAGTGCTGCAGTGAACATTGGGGTGCATGTATTTTTGAATTATGGTTTTCTCTGCATATATGCCCAGGAGTGGGATTGCTGGATCATATGGTAGCTCTATTTTTAGTTTTTTAAGGAACCTCCATACTATTCTCCTTAATAGCTGTACCAGTTTACATTCCCACCAACAGTGTAGAAGGGTTCCCTTTTCTCCACACTCTCCAGCATTTATTTTTTGTAGACTTTTTGATGATGGCCATTCTGACTGGTATGAAGTGATACCTCATTGTAGTTTTGATTTGCATTTCTCTAATAATTGGTGATGTTGAGCATCTTTTCATGTGCCTTTTGGCCATCTGTGTGTCTTCTTCGGAGAAATGTCTATTTAGATCTTCTGCCCATTTTTTGATTGAGTTGTTTGGTTTTTTGATATTGAGCTGTATAGCTGTTTGTATATTTTGGAGATTAGTCCCTTGTCGGTCACATCATCTGCAAATATTTTCTCCCATTCTGTACATTGTCTTTTCACTTTGCTTATGGTTTCCTTGGCTGTGCAAAAGCTTGTATGTTTAATTAGGTCCCATTTGTTTATTTTTTTTATTTCCATTACTGTAGGAGTCGAATCCAAAAAGATATTGCTGCAATTTATGTCAGAGTGTTCTGCCTATGTTTTCCTCTAGGAGCTTTATAGTGTCCAGTCTTACATTTAGGTCTTCAATCCACTTTGAGTTTATTTTTGTGTATGGTGTTGGGAAAGTGAAGAAAATTCACGTTTATTGAGCACTCCTCCATGAGCATGCGCCATGCTAGGCACTTTAAATATATAAACACTTAGTCCTCAAAATAAAGATACCAAAATCCACAACCCTGTATGGGTGGTATCATTGCTCCCAATCTCTAGAAGAGGTAACAGAGATGTAGAGGTGCTAAGCAGTTTGCCGAAGTTCACAGAGCAAAGAAGTAGAAATTCTAGAAAGTGATGGAGGTGACGAATGTAATCAAAGGTAAAAATGAAGAGACCTGAACATTCCTTAGAAATTTGTACTTTCATTCCAAGGTCCTCCACCTATGGAAACTTTCCTTTCCCCATCTCACAATTTAATCACATCATAGAATTTGAGTTAAAAGTGTCCTTGGAAAACTATCCAACACCTTCTTTTATGAGGAAACGGGCTAAGAGAGGTGAGCTTCTGTGAGTGCCAGGGGTCACACAGCCATCGAGGAGCAGAGCTCAGAAGCCAGCCTACCATGTTCCTGATGCCCGCAGCAGCCTGACAAAGGCCTGGGTAAATAGAAGCAGGGACATGTGTTGTCTCTAGGCAGTTGTAGGAGGAGTTCAGTTTCCTGTTAGCTGTCTGATCCACCCCTCATCAGAGATACAGAAGTGTCTGCCAATTCCAAATCCCAACAGACTCCTCCTCTCTCTGGCTTTTGAGGAGGCTTGTACAGGGTGGCAGAGCATGCTGTTTCCCATGTGGCTCCTCTTCTTTCCCCTGAGCCAGAGGGAGAAAGGATTCATTGAAAAACAGGGTGGGCTACAGAGACTTCAGCTTTTCACCCTCATACCTGCCTTAGACCACTGGGAGAAGAGGCAAAGGAGAGGCATCTCTGGCAGTTGTGGGCATTTGCTAAAGATTACAAATAAAAGATTGCCAAGAAACAAGACTCAGTATAGGTGTAGCATCTGTTTTTACTCAAAGGCAGATTGACAGTGGATCAGTGGTGGCTGTGTTCTTGGGTTCCCAAGATCTAACTGTAGATTTAAAGAAACGGGCCATAGGCCTGATGGAGGGTCAGAGCAGAGATCCTGACTTTATCTCTCACTGGTGTCTCTGGTCTTCCAATGAGGAGTAGACAAATCAGCCCTCACCACGGGAGAGAGGGGACCCAGTTTCAGTTGCTTTTGAGGGTAAACCACTGATGGCTTTTGAGGCCAACAAGACTAGGAAGTAGCACATGGGTTAATTTTCTTAAACCCAAAGGTCAGTCACCACCAAATCTTACTCCCTGGGAGTTGGCCAGCAATGCTGCCACTGACCAAAACTACTCTAAATGGCCAACAGTTCCCTTACACACACACACACACACACACACACACACACACACACAGACACACACACACACACACACACACACACACACACACACACACACCCCATGATGTAAGATTAGGCATGCTACATTGAAATAATTAAAGCTTTCTTGATCCTGTCCTCTAAAACTACTAAAACCCCTGAAATTCCTGTTAAATAAGAATGACTATGCAGACAGTTTCATTTGAAGCCAAGTCTGAAACATTAAAACCGACTCCCATCCAGTGTTTGCTTTCCCCTGGGGGGCTTATTCTTCTAGGCAGTGTTACAAGTCTCCTACCAGCTAAATGAAGATGGTTTAATCAACCTGCCAGCCA